AGCTGGGTGCTGGCAGGCTTGCACCTGGCACGGGCACCGTAGCCAGCCCGTGCCCCTTTAAGGGGTCCGGGGCCGGGAGGGGGGCATAGAGTTTCCCTGGTGTTGGCCAGAGTGGCCACCAGGGAAACCTGGGGAGGGCTAGCCTCCCACTAGTTCGAACTAAAGGGCTACACAGCCCTTAGTTCGAACTAGCTAGTTCGAACTAGGCGTTAGTCCTCGTAAAATGAGGTTTTCCTAGTTCGAACTAAGCGCTCCGCTAGTTCGATTCAAATTCGAACTAGCGGAGCGCTAGTGTAGCACCTATTAAAGTTAGTTCGAACTAACGTCCGTTAGTTCGAACTAACTTTGTAGTGTAGACATACCCTTTCATATGTGTTCATTTTTTTAATTGTAACCTTTGGTATATATGGTTGTGATAATTTTCTTCCACTATTTGATCTGAGGAAGTGGGTCTGGCCCACGAAAGCTCATCACCTAATAAACCATCTTGTTAGTCTTTAAAGTGCTACATAGTCCTGTTTTTTGTTTCATTTTTCATAATGTCTGCTTTTGCATAAAATTTATTTTTATACAAAAAATAACAGTCAGAACCAACATATTTTAATTCTGAAATGTTGCTGCAGTGCCTCATGAGAGTTGTAGTTTATGTTTCTCATGCTCCCATTTCTCCTACACAGGACGAGCTTCACTGCTGGATTTCATCTCCCATGATTCATTGCAACCATACAACTGTCACTTTTTCCCACCAAGTGGGAAGATTATCAAGCATCATGGAAGATGTAGTCCAATAAGGGAGCTTTATCAATAGCTGAGAATGGGAGCATGAGGTACCTATACTAGAATTTACTGAGGCACAATTTCAGGATTGAAAATTTTTCAGTTTCAGTTTAAATATTTCCACTTTTAGCCAAAACATGAGTTTCCAATTTTTGTAAAAACCTCAGTGTTCAGAAGGAAAGAAAATTAGTTTCCAAACATGTCTCCATCAGACAAATCTGAAATGGAACTCTTCTGATTAATACACTAATCAGGTTTTCTCAAGTCACGAGAATCACTTGAGGCCCAGCTCTGGATTTAAGTTGTAGAGTTTGAAAAGCCTTCTATTGACTTCCATGGCCTTTGTGAAAGCAGAGGAAAAAATATTTAGTACATTTCTCCTGTGTGTAATCATGGTGTGGACTTCATTATTAAACAATGATTTGTTCATACAAAGATGAAGTGTTACATTGTTTCTGGGAAGGGCTGCAAAGAAAGAAGAACAGTGCCCTCCAGACCCTAGCCCTGTACTCAGAGATTCAGCAAACATGGAAGGGCCGGGGATGGCTGGCAGGGAGTCCTTCCGGCCATAATGTCCAAAAATAACGTGCTGATATGGTGTACCAGATTATAACTTTCCTGTACAGTGTATCAGACAATACCAGCCCTCTCACGTCACTGGCTAGTGAAGACAGAAGAGGTGAAACTGGTAAGTGAGGCAGCTTTATCTACAGCAGGGCTGAGCAAAACACATCTCACAGGCAAGATCTGGCCCACCAAGCCACCAGATCTGGCCCACAGAAACCCTGCTGGGACCCTCAGGCACAATTATTGCCCTGTTTTAAGTGCAGGGCTGCTTGTGTGGCTCTCTGCTCTAGAGGGAGGGAGAGGCTTCGTGTAATTACCCCACCTCCAACACAATCCTTAGTTCCTGTTGATTGGAAGGAACTGGCCAATAAGAACAGACCCCAGCCAATCTCTCAACTCCTATTGTCTGGAAACAACCAGCTACTAGCAGCTGAGAGATTGGCCTGGGGGACGGCATAGCACAAGCCTCTTCCCCTTCTCGGAGCTGAGAGCCACATGGAGGGAAAATCCTGCAGTTTTAAGCAATCTGGAGCTGCAGCAGACAGGAAGCCCAGCTTGCCTTGGAAGTGCTGTAGGGCTGCTAACTGGGAGATGCTTCCCAGTTAGAGCATGCCTCTAGCACCCCAGATCATCCTGCACCCCAACTCCCTCCCTCAGGTCACCATCCAAGCCCTCTGCACTCCCCCTACCCCAGGTCAGAACTCCCTCCCAGAACCTGTACCCACCTCCTACACCCCTTCCCCAGCCCAGAATCCTCTCCTGCACCCAGACCCCTTCCCATACCCTGCATCCCATTCCCTTGCTGCAGGTCACTACCTCCTCCTTCACCCAAATTCCCTCAGACATCACACCATCTCCTGCATCCCAGTCCCTTGCCCTGTGCACCCTTCTGCATCATCCTAGACCCTGCACCTCTGCCACAGAAAAGTGTGGCCCTTGCCCACTTTTCAAAATCTTGGAGTGGGACCCCACAAAAAATTGTTGCCCAACCTCGACCTACAGCATTTTGAATAGACCAGAAGGAGATATGTGGGGTGAAGTCTTGACCACATTGAAGTCAATGACAAAATTTGTATTGACTGCAGTAGGCCAGGATTTCATTGGTAAATCAGAGAGGCCAGGAAGGGGGAGGCTAAAGAAGCTGAAGCATGATAAGCATGTGTCAGGTTTTTATGGTAGACTTGGGCTAGAAAAATAGACAGTACTTGAGAATTATCTTCAGGAGTGCCAAACAGAGATTATGAGTGAAGTGAATGATTTAGATGATATATAAAACTATGCAAGGTTGTGTTCTCTCATTTTAAAATAGGATTTTTACATTACATGGTTGAGTTCCATTTTCATAGTTTTACTTAAATGTGGACACTTGGTTTGCACCACAGCAAGAAGTATTACCTCTCCATGAAATTTACTGCAAAATTTACACACAAACCTAATGGCTTTATAACAAAGCTATATTGAGGAAAAACAAATTAATAATACACTTTACAAGTAGTTTAATTTGTCCAGAAGTGGAATATATAAGAAATTTAAATCAGCTGTAATTGGAAATTAAGTTTTATATGCCAAATAATAAGGTTTTAGTCCAAAGGTCATACAAGATGATACATGAATGCATTGTAAGCATGGGATCTGATGTAAAAGTGTGACATTGGTTGATAAAAGCGAGTTATAAAATATAACTGGTGTAATTTATTGGAAATTAACATCTTCTGGAATAACTGCAAACCTTTTAAATAAATAAAGGCACTCATCCAAAATCCGGAATGTTTAAAATGCATTCATGCAAATAAAGCACAAAGATCCATGGTGAAATATATTTATGACAGCAGAAATTATATCAACGACATTGCCATAAAAGGCTAAGAGTTAGTAATAACAAAAGGAAATTACTAAAAAAGAATACCACAAGGTTAGAAAGAGAGACAAATTCTGGTTTAGAAGGGTTAAAAATGTTTGTTTTCGTATTGCTTTTGTTTGTTAGTGGGCAATAGTGTGTTGTACTTCCATAGATGAATATGTTTCCTTCTAATCTTTAATCAAGTTAGTAGGAACTGCTGGTACTGAATACTTTGGGGAAAAAAATCAAACCACTTATTCAGGTTCCTAAGGTAACCTTATTCAAAGCCCCATTTGAAAACATTGGTCACTAGGTTTTCAAGTTAGAACATTTTAGAAGGGGGGTGAGGCATACATATTGTCAGCAACCTAGTCTCAAGGATGGATGGATGAATGGAGGCACATACACCAGAATTTCCTTTTAGATAATACTAGAGAGGTAGCCGTGTTAGTGGGTCTGGCCCACGAAAGCTCATCACCTATTAAACCATCTTGTTAATCTTTAAAGTGCTACATAGTTTTTCCTTTTCTTTTAGATAATGTTTGAGATATAAAATTAAGCTTAAAACTGAGCCATGACATGGTAGGCTTGATGGCACAAGAGAGCACAATTGCCCTTTGGAAATAGCAATATCTCTAAACACAGCTCAGATGGCAAAGAATGGAAAATGACTTGTTGCTCATTATGACCAATGACAGACTGGTTAGTGTGTAAGAATCACAACTCTAGAGCTGCTTTCTGAATTTTAAAAGCAGAGAAACTTCTGGAGATTCAGTTTCTTTCTCTTTGATAAATGTTCCTACGGTGATGGGGAAATTTGTGTATTCAGAAAGATAAACCAAAACAATTGTAACTCCACTAGAAAAAAACTGTAGATGAACTAGTCATATAAATGTTGTATTTAGAGTACATATTAGACAGTGACAAAAATAGCCTTCCTATTTTCATTAAACTTTTTTTTAAACTAGGAAAGTTTACATGCATTGAAGTCCGATTCCACCTTGAAAGGCAAATGGGTTACTATCTCATTCAAATGTACATACCCAGTCTACTGATTGTCATTCTCTCCTGGGTGTCATTTTGGATCAATATGGATGCAGCTCCAGCCAGAGTGGCGTTAGGCATAACAACTGTACTGACTATGACAACACAAAGTTCAGGTTCACGAGCATCACTTCCAAAGGTAGGCAAAAACCTGCTTTGCTTGTATCATACTAATATCACTTTTAGACCGAATGATGATTCTATATGGCTGTCAGAGGCCTTCAATAACCTTTGCATGTGCTCTTCTCATTAAAAAATAAATGTTCATTTAACACAAGGGAGAAAAACCACTTTGATCTTTTTTTTTCATTCAACAGAACACATTTTGTTTCTTTACCAATTGGTCTATTGGGCTGGCTTAATTCCAGTGACTTTAATGGCGCAGACTTAGAATCCTGAAGGAACAGTTCTTCATCGGCCTATTAGTCTTGCCAATATTTGGGGGGGGGGGGGGGTATTTTGAATTTGTCCCTTTCTTGGTTTCAATATAAGCCACTGTATTCTGAAAATATTAAGACTATTACTTACAGAGTAACAATTTCCAACTCCCCACCCTGGTTCTGGAGGCACAATGAGTTAGTTCTCTTTTTCATGTAAGAGCTTACTATGTGCATCTGGTCAGCTAGTTTCAGGGATCTAGGACCAACATTCCCTTTAATCTTTTTCATTCACGTGCAGATTTTTTCCATCCAAGTGCAGAATTCTTTTGTCCGCATTGAGGGATGTGCAAACATACACCACCAGTAGAAACAAAAAACCTAACTGTGGGTGCTCTGCATAAGGGGCCGCATAATCATACAGCTTATAGGGAATGCTGTCTTGGGCTCATCCTCAGTCCACCCGTTCAGTATCCTCGTACAGTGAGGAATATTAGACCAGTGTCATCACCACCAGGACCTGACTGACTAAGGGTGAAAACCAAGCCCAAAGTATTTTACAATGGCATATTTGTCATCAGCACAGATGAAATCCCCAAATATAAAAAAATCATGTTGTCTATTTTTAAATAATCTATATGTTGGTACTTAAAAGTTTTCTTTTACAGGAAAGACTAATCACCCTGAACTCTCATTGAAGCCAATGGGAATTATTTCATGTAGTAGCAAAATATACGGTCTCAGCAAGCCAATCCAGACTCTTATTAAACAGAAGGCAAAGGGAAAATCGGAAAGAGAAAAAATAAGAGAGAGAAGGGAAAGGGCACAGAATTTAAGGGACAAGGAAACGTAACCAAGTTTCATATCTCAAATGGTAGAGCTAGTGGAGATGGTGATGTCAACTGGATCCTTCTCTCTGGCCAGCTCTGGTGAGGACATCTCCCAGAATCAAGGCAGTGAAGGACCAATGCTATTACAGTGGATCCCAGGGTCCCAGGAAATGGATCGGAGTAGCAGCCATTGTGAAGCTCACACCTTCCTGTTCTCCCATCTTTCAGTCAGCCAGCATCCACCTTCAATTTTCCCCAAAAAACTTAAGGATCACTAAAGGGAATGATGGGCAGAATACCCCATCTTTATTGTTTCATCTACCAGTAGGCCTAATTGCCAGCAAAGTGATTTGAGTTTATTGGTTTCCACACCCACATTTCTCTAGTTTACATGATTTTAAGACTGCTCTTTGGTTGTATTTGTAGATCTTTTATTTGGACTTCAATTTATCGCCCTTTTGCATCTTACTCCATCAGGGTTTATTATTGTAAATTATTGCAATGGTTTATTAACTCTTACTTTGCCATAGTTATAGACACAAATAAAGTAGGCCAAGCGGTACTTCCTTTGACGTGCAAAGAAACCAGCACCCACCTCCTGAAAAAGGCAAACCTGATGCACCCTTCCCCAACCCTCAACAACAAGGCAACACCACAACTTTCTTCTCCTCGCCCCTCCCTCCCCAAAACTCCAGTCACATATAGTATCTAGCAAGACTACACATATAGATAAGATTGAGAACATCATTTTCTCACTTAAACTGCAGGGATACTGCAGCACCTATAGCTGAACACAAACATTAGGCATCCCAGTGTATTGTGCTACTGAAAATCTTTAGACCTATTAAAAATTATCAGATTAATTTTTTTTGGCAACTGTCAAATCCATTAAAAAATAGCCAAGCTGGTCAAACACCAGACAAGTAATAACACTAGATAGACCAACTAGGCCTCAATTATTGCAACAGCCCTTCAATTGATTCTTTAGAGGCTGCCAACAACTGGAGATACAATTACACTACATACACATGAGAATACAAGAGAACAAATTACTGTTATATCTGAGAAAACCACATACATTTTAATCACATATTTGGGGTCTGATTCTGGATTAAACTTCAAACCTCTAATTGGCTTCAGTCAGAGCAGGATCAGGCCCTAGATTACAGAACCAGTGCATGTCCTATGACTGTGCTCCTCAGGAGAGGCACAGTGCATCAGAGAACAGGGCCAACGTAGTCAATTTTAGCCACATGCCAGCCCCTTTGTACTGCTTACACAGATCAGAACAGGAAATGGATCATACACATCCAGAAATTAACAAATGTCATGATCTTTCTGCTTTTCCCTTTACATTATCAGGGTTTTGGTTAAATGCAATGTATAGCAGATCCTAAAGACATGCTAATGAAGTACTAAACATTCATGCAGAGATTTGCTTATAAACGGGCAAGAAATATATTTCTCACAAAATTAAATTGTGAGGAAATAAAGATTGAACCCTTTGTCCTGTTATATAAGCAGCTTTCATGTTAGTGCTTTTTTGTAAAAATAGCTCTGTGGTCTGAGGACACACAGTTATTTCCCCCTGGCATTATGAGATACTGAAATTCGCATCTGTGTTCCTAATATTTTCAGTCTCTTTCTCCATAGGTATCATATGTCAAAGCTATCGACATTTGGATGGCAGTATGCCTGCTCTTTGTATTTTCTGCACTTCTGGAGTATGCAGCTGTAAATTTTGTGTCAAGGCAGCATAAAGAACTTCTGAGATTCCGCCGGAAGAGGAAGAAGAACAAGGTAAAAGAAAACTAGCAACACCAATATCTTTGAGATAGAGAGATGGATTTGGACAAAGAAAAGGGCTTTGGTTGGTAAAGATTGCACTGCTTAAAGTGGCTGTACATATAAGATGTCAATAGAATGAAATTCACCCTGGGCAGTGTGTCACTATACAAGAATTACTCCCCAGAAAAATCCTACTTAAATTCTTAATAAAGGGATTAAAGAGAATTTAAATTGTGAGTAGGTAATGTATGAACCCCACATTCCAGGAGTGAATTTCATTCTGTGAAAACATTGTACAAGTTGTCTATGGCACACAAAAATTGCATGGTGATTTATTAAATACAGTTTCTTAGTTTAAGTCTAAGGATTTCCATTGAGCCCTAATGATTAAAGTTCACTTTTTCTGAGTTTTCCTGCTGGTGAAAAGTACATTTTCTGCTAAATACAGGTAAGCCTGTTTTTCTTCATCATTATATTTAATCACCACATTGTGCCACCTTCACTCATGTGGTGATCACAACTATCAATTGCTATGATCTACTGAGGAGCTATGCCTTCAGCTCTGGTCTACATTAAGGCTTTATTTTGAAATAACCCCTCTTAGGTTGGAATTGTAAGTGGAGTGTCCACACTACCAAGCCTGTTATTTCAAAATATTTCAAAATAACAGGCCACTTATTAAAAAATCTGTACTCCTTCTTTTTTAGAGGACTAACATTAATTTGAAAATAGTTATTTTGAAATAGCAGTATTATGGCTGGTCTGGGGCTGCTATTTTGAAATAACTACTCCCCAGAGTAATTCGAACTGATTACTCCCCAGTACTCATCATGAGTAAAGGCCGCACATTCTAAGCTCCAAAGTCAAATTCTATAAGGCCTTTCCTAGTAAAGAGAGTGAAAGTTATATCTCGGTAAATATCAATAAAGATTTCCTGGATTTGTGCCATAGTACTCAGCTATGTGAGTTAGACTTCCACTATTCATTGCTGATTGCTTTAGAGGGAAAAATGGTGGAGACATTATATTTCCCCCCTAGCCATCCATAAAGTACCTAATCCATCTTCCACCTAAGTCAATAAGAGTCTTTCATTTGTTTTTACAGGAGTTGGATGAGGCCATTATTTACAATATTGCTATGTATCAGATTTCAAACTGTATTAAAGAGAACATGTCATTTAGCACCAGTGTCTTTTCTTCCTGAAGACTTTATTATTTAGGTCACAAGCAAAGAAATCATTCAACAGCTTATTCTCCTTGTATTGCCAACGTATTATAAATCTGTTGCACAATTCACCAGGCCTGGAGAGTCATGTATACAATAAATAGCCTCACAATGGTAAGGTTTGTAGGGAAGGATTGGTATTTACATAAAAAAGCATTCAATAGCTGGAGACCAGCAGACCAGGGATACGGGGAGCAAAGTCGTGGAGCACGCAGGCAGCAGGACAGCCGCGGCGCGTTTGGGCTGTCCCGTTGCCCCCGTGCTCCGCGGCTTTGCTCCGGACGCCTGTGGTACAGCAGCTGGGGCACTGCCGGTTGGCCCCGGGGGCAGCGGGGCTGGTCAGGGGGGTCTTCGGGAGAGCGGGGCTGATTGGTGGGGGGTGGGAGGAACTGGCTGCTGGAAGCAGGGCTGGACTGGGGAGATTGTGAAGTGAAGGTGGGGAGCAGGACTGACTTGGGCACATGCAGACCCTGGCAGACGAGTGAGTCTGGCCAGGGATTCCATTTTGCTCCCCCGCCCCACCCCACATACCCTCCCTTGAGTAGTTGCGAACTGCCTGGTAGGTAGACACATTCAGACAGTGTGAGCATATCTACCAGCCAGGCAGTTTGCAGCTAAGGACTGATACACCTAATAACAATAAAACTTACCTAATTAGAAAATATTACCAGGCATTTTATGTCTGGTAATTTCTCAATTTCTTTCCCATACAAAACCTTCAAATACCAGACTCTCCAGTACAAAACCGGACTCCTGGCAATCCCACCCTTCCTTACACCCTCCCTCTTAGCCAGATACCCTACCCCCAATCTGCTCCTGCTCCCGCCTCCTGAAGTGCTCATGTGGCACTGGGTTCCCCAAGCCCTGGCCCAGGCTGGATGGAGGATGCAGCCAGGTGGAACACTGAAAATTTATTCTTTTTTTTTAAATATGCATTTATATTTTTGGGCTGCAAAAAACAATACTGAAAAAAATGGGTTCCAACTAAAGTAAAAAGTTTGGGAAACCCTGATCTAGCCAGCTTTCTACCCATTGTATAATCCATTTATCCAATCCATATTCCCTTAACTTGCTGGCAAGAATATCATGGGTGACTGTATCAAAAGCTTTGCTAAATGCTGGCACTGGAGGCTTTGGAAGGACCAGAAACAACTTATTTGAATATTCATCATTTGCTGAATGAATATGCACATATGCAAATGAATGTTACCAGTCCTCCAAAAGCTCATGAATAGATTTACTGGTCCCCGTGTCAAAAAGTTTGGGAACCCCTGATCTAGCCAGCTTTCTACCCATTGTATAATCCATTTATCCAATCCATATTCCCTTAACTTGCTGGCAAGAATATCATGGGTGACTGTATCAAAAGCTTTGCTAAAGTCAAGGAATATCACATCCATTGGCTTCCCCATGTCCACAAAGCCTGTTACCTCATCACAGAAAGCAATCAGGTTGGTCAGGCATGACTTGCCCTTGGTTAATCCATGTTGACTTTTCCTGATCACTTTCTTCTCTTCCTAGTGTTTCAAAATGGATTCCTGGATGATCCCTCCATGATTTTTCCAGGGGACTAAGTGAGGCTGACCAGTCTGTAATTCCCTGGATTGTCCTTCTTCTCTTTTTTTAAAGGTGGGCACTACATTTGCCTTTTTTCTATTGTCCAGGACCTCCCCTGATCTCCATGTGTTTTCAAAGATAATGGCCAAAGGCTCTGCAATCACATCAGCATCCTTCAGCGTACTTTGATGCATTAAATCCTACCCCATGGATTTGTGTATGGCCAACTTTTCTAAATAGTTCTTAACCTGTTCTTTCTCCACTGAGGGCTGCCCACCTCCTTCTCATACTGCATTACCTAGTGCAGTAGTCGGGGAGCTGGCCTTGTTTATGAAGACAAAGGCAAAAAAAGCATTGAGTACTTCAGTTTTTCCCACATCATCTGTCACTAGGTTAACTTCCCTCCTCCAGTAAGGGGCCCACACCTTCTCTGACCACCCTCTTATTGCTAACATTCCTGTAGAACCTTTCTTGTTACTCTTCACATCCCTTGCTAGCTGCAATTCCAAATGCACTTTGGCCTTCCTGATTACACCCTTGCATGCTTGAGTAATATATTTATACTCCTCCCTAGTCATCTGTCCAAGTTTCCACTTTTTGTAAGCTTCCTTTTTGTGTTTAAGCTCACCAAGGATTTCACTGCTAAGCAAAACTAGTCACTTACCATATTTGCTTTTCTTACTGTGCCTCGGGATGGCTTCTTCCTGTGCCTTCAATAAGGCTTTTTAAAAATATTGACAGCTCTCCTGTATTCCTTTCCCCTTCATATTAGCATCCCAGGGAATCCTGCCCATCAGTTCCCTGAGGGAGTCAAAGTCTGCTTTTCTGAAGTTCAGGGTGTGTATTTTGCTGCTCTCCTTTCTTTCTTTCATCAGGAACCTGAAATTGACCAGCTCATGATCACTGCTTCCCAGATTGCCACACACATCTACTCCTTCTACTAATTCTTCTCTGTTTGTGAACAGTAGGTCAAGCTGTGCATGACGCCTGATTGGTTCCTTCAGCACTTGTACTGGACAGTTATCCCCAGTACACAGTCTCCACAAACTTCCTGAATTGACTTGATGATTACATGTTCTGTTCACTCCCTCTGGGCCATCTGACATTGACCACTGTCAGAAGACAGGATACTGGGCTAGATGGACCTTTGGTCTGACCCACTATGGTTGTTCTTACATTCTCACTAACACTGCTAAAAATAACTGAAGTCTTCTGGAATAAAACAGAGTTAAACATTTTTTCCCCAAGAAACATTATGATTCCTCAGTACAATTTCTAAACATGACATTTATCTGCAGTTATATTTAGTAAATTAACAAATGCACTTTAACACTGTGTTTTACTTTCCCCCATCAGTTTCTTACTTGGCTACTATCGTCACTGATTATAAAGCTTAGTATACAGTCTTTACTCATTTGGCACAATTTAAACAATCACTGATTCTTATGGATTAGATTTTATTTGACTTTTTAAAATGCATCATAAAAAGAAGAGTTCTTCACTGACCTCTATTTGACTAGGTAATCAACAGGAGAATGAAGAGAAATTAAATACCAAGATAAGTGTTCAAATAACCTGAAGAAGCTTCCTTGATTTTTAAGTATCCTCTTGTCACAATTTAGTATCCTCTTGTCTGTTCCATATCATACCTAGTTAGACTATAGAAGCAGAGAGTTTAGGGATGAAAAAGCCTATTAGACAATCCTGTCCATCTTCAATCTGACATCCCGCTAAGCCACTGACAGGCTTGGAGGGATGTAACTTCCATAGGTACAAAACCCCCCTCTTGACCAGATGAGTTTCCATTTGTAAAATTAGTATTCTCTAGTCCCTCCTTGGGTTTTTCTGCATAGGCAAAGCATATGACTCAAAGGGATTTTTTAAAATTTGTAATACTGCACATCTATAATTTGCTACAAGAACCATCTGCAACATTTTTCCCAATGAAGCAATTTTTATACCTAGATACTGGCAAAAGTGAATCTGGACATTATTGTGATGATTTATATTATGGTTGTTAGAACTGGTTGAAAAGTTAAAAAATAATTTTAATGAAAAATGAATGACAATTTTCACATAAATATTCCTCATTCATTATCAACTAGCTCTGATGTTAGCAGACAGTCATGACCAGCCCCACTGTACTAGCTGCATAGTAACATACTGTGTTAAAAATTAAATCCTTTCCTTGAAGGCCTTCCAGTCTAATTTGAGACCAGTTGAAACAAGTGAGTGGGATGAACAAAAGGAGGAATGAGATAGGGTGACATTAATGAAGATGATGATTCCTGGTGTGTGATCTTAACTTTGGTTCCAAATTATTTAAAGGTGATTTTGTATTTAAAGGCCCAGTCTAACTCTCATGGGGAAGAGCAGAAAAAGACTAATGTTAACTTTTGCTTATTTGTGTGTGTTTATTTATAGCCCAAGTTTACTTCCATTCAAGTCATCTAAACCAATATGCCATTATTCTAATCATTGTTGTCTTCCTGACAGCCATCATAGAAGTAAGTTATAGGGATGAATTTGAAGGAGTATGTAATGGTTTTATGGACAGATTTCAGGAGAATGTTTCATGAATAAAAGGAATACATGAAGTAAAGCACAGAGATGTTTGTGACAGAAAACAGACAAATTGATATTTGAGTCTACCATCACTGATGCAGTGGAGAGGATGGAAATTATACAGATTTATTTCCACATATACACTCCAAGCACCATCCTAATGTTTGACTGAAATTGTTTTAAAAAATTACTATAGAATAAAACATTGCCACCTTTGGACCAATATAACATGAATTAAAACACAACTGAGATAATAATCCCTGCAATTGCAGGTAAAACATTACCTCAGAATGGCTGTTGTACTCCGTATGTAGTCAGTGATTGCTTTGCCTGAATCAGATGAGCAAGGTCTGGCCTTCAACAAATATTTTCAATAAACTTTACTTTGTTTGTTCTGAACTTTTTTTAAGAATTAAAAACATTTCATAAACTTGTTTTTTTTTTTGTAAAGGGCCTAAAATAAGCAGAAAGAGATGACAGAAGAGGCAGAGTTAGAAGCATCATACATAATTGATCATTACAGAGCTTATTTTTCTTGTTGATGTTTCAGAAGAAACAAGCACATAGAGGAATGCTATATATACTTTGAAAAATACAGTTCTATTTTTAAACTAAGTTCTAATGCAATATACTTACTTTTCAGGAATAGTCAAACTTTTTAAATTCTGTTTTCAAAGACCTAAAGATCATGGTATCTTTAGTACAAAAATAGATTCACAGACTGGACTGATTATACATTTTAATGATAATCACATTTGTTTTCTTTTGTTTTCCTTTGTTTTGCTTTTTCCTTTTTGTCTTCCTTCCCATACTTTGATACTTTGATGAAAGTATTTTGGGGGAGTGCTTGATGGAAATGAAATCAATGAATCATTGCGGCGTAGCAATGGCTTGAGAAGTGCAGAACCTATAGACGGGACTTTGGCTCAAATCTACAGTACAAATTTAAGGGTAAACTATGTAGAAAATGTGCCATTTGTCATAATGTGATAACCAGTCATTAACGAGGGCCCTGTTCTTTTGTCTGAACTAATGTTTTCCTCCATGTGGACTCCGTTAACCTTCATTATTATCTGTATGTGATGACGTAAAGTGTTATCGAAACAGTTTTTGTTTGTTAATTCTGTAGTCTATACTGACTTGTGTACATCTCACATCAGAAAATGAAATTAAAATGTGACTTTCTGCTGTTCCAGAGAAGGCTTGAAAATTAACATCAGAGCTAAGAGAAATAATTTAGAATTGGATACATATTTTAAAAAGCCTATGCAACTTTGTATTATGAATGTTTTCTGCAAAAAAAGTGTAGCGAGTAAAACATTAAAATGTTTAAAATAACTCAAAGGTTATAAAAATATCCTAAAACTATTAGTATTACTTACAGCTAAAAAATACAGTGAACACATTTCAGCAAGTATATATGTTATTCCTCAGGAAGAATAAATTATTTAAAGTTTATATCAAACAGAAAACATCTTGAACCCAAGAGAATTTAAATATTTTGATCATTTTCTGCTTAGGTATTTAATATGGTGACACTGACATGCAAATAAACCAACCCAGCTCATTATTTTCAAGCCTCTAAGAATTCTGGTTGTGTTTCAAAAATATTTACTTACATTTAGGAGCACCCTTTAATTACTAATTTTTTTAAAGAGCTGGAAAAATATGTCAAATAAAAAGAAGATGCATGCAATCCACTTTGACTAGCAATTTTTGATAATTAATTTGTTAAACAGTATACATGAGAACTACTTTATATCAAAACTTCAGCAAAGGCTTTTAAAAATAAGTGTTAATTGATTTTTTCCCTTTTTATAAATAACATATGAAGATGGTGCACCAGACAATCATATGAAGGAAAAGGAAAGAAATTAAAATGAAGATTTGAGTTTTCAAATCAACATTGAATGCGTTTTTTGAAAGGGCTATTCTATGGTCCAGCTCTTTAAGTAATGTTCCTCCAACTGAGTGGCTTCATCACCTGAGGTGTTGGTCCATTTAATTATACAAAACTAAAACTGTGTTCATAGAGGAATTAGATAAGTTCATGGAGCATAGGCCCAACAATGAATATTTGCTAAGATGCTCAGGGGCATAACCCTATTATATTTCAAAGAAAATAAACTTGAGGGATTTTTATGACAACAAATGGATCATCAGTGTCACCTGTTTTTTCCAGACAACAGAAGCACTGGTACCAGAGTTAGAAAACAGTTTTGTTTAATCAAATCATAACATTTCACCTTGCTATCACTTTATATTTCTTGTTTTATTAATCTACTGCTGTTTTCTTGCTTTCATGTTAATTTTCCATTTTTTTAAATTACTACAGTGCATTAGCAATTACAATAAACCCGATACAGAAGTGTTGCTAAACAGAGAGAACTGTGAATAAGCGTATAGGATTGCAATAATAAAGTTAAAAAAAAATTTCCATGGAATGGCAACCACTGATACCAGCATTGTAGGACTTTGGCTGGATTCATCCACAAACAGCTCTATCTGCTGATTCTATTGCAGAGATTTTTTTAATCTCTTGGGCTATGTCTAGTCTGCAAGCCTCTTTCGAAAGAGGGTCTTTCGAAAGTATCTTTCGAAAGAGCCTCTTTCGAAAGAGCGCGTCTAGACTACACGCGGAACTTTCGAAAAAGCGGCTTGCTTTTTCGAAAGAAAGCACCCAGCGAATCTGGATGCTCTCTTTCGAGGAAGCCCTATTTACATTCAAGAACACCTTCTTTCGAAAGAGGAACTTTCGAAAGAAGGCGTTCTTCCTCGTAGAATTAGGTTTACCGCCATCGAAAGAAAAGCCGCGTTCTTTCGATTTAATTTTGAAAGAATGCGGCTTGAGTCTGGACGCAGGTGAAGTTTTTTCGAAAAAAGGCTACTTTTTTCGAAAAAACCCCTGAGTCTGGACACAGCCTTGGGTTACTCTCAGCCTAAACTTTTCAATTTAACTGAATGGTTTTGTTTTTCCAGAATACAGCGATTTGTTGACACCAAAATTATTCACAGGAAAGGAAAGCTTTTGACAGACATATTTTGAAAAAAAATATTTTGATTAAGATTTGAAATTTTAAAAACAATCAATTTTGACATTTTCAAAACAAAAGCTTTAGTTTGGCTGGTTGGGCCACTTTTGATTAGTTTGTAGGAAACATATCAGTTCCTTTCCCAATCTGATGTATAACTTTATATTCTTCTATTCTGTTAAGGCAACAGCTTCCTTGGACTACATAATTATTTGAGAAATCCAATATGAATCATTTTTGTACTTCGTTGCGCTTCAGATATCTTAAAAGAATATGGTAATATGGCACTTAAACTAGATCATATAAGATCAAAAAGTAGAGTTTAAAAGTAATTCAAAAGTCCTTGGATTATTCTTCAGTAGGCTATGTATTGGAGGAGAAACACCATCATTTGAAACCAAAGGAGTTTTTGGATATACTTTGTTGGTTTTTCACATTGTCTCAGTTCCTGTGTACAATTTGTACATCTATGTTTGCACCAGCAGAATAAGTTACAGCAGTAAATTTGAGCTTGTGCATTTCTCCCTACTTGGTCCTCATAATTGGTTAAGTAGTGATGCAAACCATGCTCACAAAATGAAAACCACATCTTTGGTCAGTGTTTCTTAAACTGTGTTCCGTGGCCCACTGGTGTGCCGCAAGGCAGTCGGAGGTGTGCTGTGGAGAACAACAGAACTCAAAATGGCTACCCTTAAAGGGGCAGGTGACTTTTTTTTTGGCTCAATAATTTTCCCTTGACCCTTTTTTTTCCTCAATAACCCCCCCCCCCCCCCCCCCGACTCTTTTCCCCGTGACATTTTTTTTCCTCTATGCTCAATAAAAAATCCTTCGTGTTTCTCATTAAAATAAATTGTTTGGTGTTCCTCAGTTTTAAAAAGTTTAAGAAACACTGTCTTTGGTCATGTATTACATCCCTATACCATGTAAATAACTCTTCTGTCCATTCACTGTAGGTTAGGAACAAATTCAATTTTCACTCATACGTAAGTAAATTTAAGACATCAGTGGACTTTCTTCTGGATACACAGTGGAGAAACTGCACAGAATATGGCCATTAGCTATGATCCAAGTGCCTTAGCCTTCTCTACTTATAACATTTTAGCTATATTTTAGAAAAGAATTATTTTTATTTGTTGAATCTATCTGGAACTTTAGAAAAAGATGTAAAATAAGACTAATTCAAGCAGACAGACATCCCACTAACTTAACTGATGTCAACATGTTATATATATTATGATAGCACAATGGGGCCCTGACCTTTAGGCACTATGTATAGTGCAAAAGATTAAATCCCTCACTGAAAGAGTAATGCAGGCTTTTGCTGATTGAAGAGCACATAACTGTTCTGTAAGTGGGAAAGAACAGAGTAAACTGATAATTTGTCCTTTCTCAGATCCTTAGAAGTAATGGAAGTTGAATATATTTATGTATTTTAAAGTATCCATTTAGTGTAATCCCAGCCTCATTGAAATCAATGGGAATTTTGCCTTTAACATCACTGGAATAAAAATTACATCCAGAAAAGTTAAAGTAGTATGTTAAAGAATCCACTGAAATAAGGATACAGAACTGCATTTTCAGCAGTTGAGGATCTATGTAACTGAAGAATTGTCTTACTTTTCTTGCAACAGGACGATGAGGTAAGAGAAAGTCGATTCAGTTTTACAGCCTATGGAATGGGGCCGTGTCTGCAAGCAAAAGATGGCGTGACTCCAAAGGGGCCAAATAATCCCATTCAAGCTGTACCAAAAAGCCACGATGAAATGAGGAAGGTATTCGTTGACCGAGCCAAGAAAATTGATACCATTTCCAGAGCTTGCTTCCCATTAGCCTTTCTCATTTTCAACATTTTTTATTGGGTTATCTACAAAATCATTAGGCATGAGGACATTCACCAATAACAAGATTAAGGCTTCTATACTTTCCTTTACAAATGTGTATACAGATGCTCACTGGGATAGTTAAAAGGCAAAAAGAAAAAGATCCCATTTGACTTGCTATGCAAAGTCACTATTGAACTGATGAAGAATGACACCCAATGAAGCTTTATCTGCTATTACTAAGTTTCTACTGCATACTAAACAATCAACTTTTTCACAGTAAAATCACAACACTATACTACAGCTATACTGCCAACGTGTTTATACATAGTTTTGCATTATGGTCTAATTGTACAGTATTCTTTAAAGTTCCTTACAATTTTTTAATTCAATTGTATTTTTAAAAGGTATTACAAAATGGGTCTAGCATAGATGACTTCCAGAGTAACAGATTAGATTCAGATTTCTAATTCTCCTTTAAAGTTTACACATTAGTAATGAAGAACTGAACTGAGTTTTAGAACTCAATCACATTTTCTTAGTTTAACAAAAATGGATTTTGTAATGAGTACAGAGCACATTTAAATTATATTACGAAGTTCTTTCTATAAAAAAAATTACTCATAGAAGACAGTTCATCAAAGGATTATGGTTCGCCTAGATCTTAAAAAAAACATGATAATGTAATGCTCAAAGTAGCACCAAATATCTATTGCCCAGATGGACCTGAAACACTAGCTATAATTTCTTATACTGTGCATATCAGTATAGGAACAAGTTACTGTTTTTGAAGGATTGCTGCCCCTAAGTACATTTAATGACATAGTCACCTCTGGATAAACTGAAATAAAAATATAAAAGATTAAAAGATGTTTTTCTCATCAGGTAACTGTTCAGAAACCACAGAATGTGGAGAAACAAACCAGGTAGACATTTATTTCAAAGTTCTTGAAAACTGACATTAAAAAAGGAAAAGTTAGAGACTACGATAAAAGTAATTTTTATGGATGTTTTTGAAGCTGACTATTGCAACATTTATCTTCCATTATCATCAGTGAAATTTGAGATTATCAGATCAGTCTTCTCTTAATTTTAATGAATTATTCAATGAGCAGATTCTAACATTATATTTAGAAACTGGCAGAAAATTTTCTGCATCTTAGAAAATATTAAAAATATATCAGGATGATCTTTTATTTTTACTGCACTTCACAATAAAAGTTAGGAGAAGCAACTGAAACTGTTGAAGCAAATTTTTTCTATGTAGAATCACATATATTGTATTAAGTGCTTCTTACAATTATTATATGGTAGATTATTTTATCTCATTTTAAAAAAATTACTTTCAGTAAATAATGTTGACATTGTTTTCTAATTAAGGGCAAAAAAATTGTTCTAACATGTGGAAATCTACAGACAGCTAACAGATAAGAAGATACCTGATGCTTTGAACTTGTAATGAAATCCAATGGTGAAGGCAATTTATTATTGAAAAGTTCCTTTGTTCTGAGCACATATATAATATTTGGGTTGTTACTGCTCAAAGTGCATACACAAAAGCAAAACTTCTGGAGGCAAACATCTGTGATGTTACTAGAGGCATATTGTGTGAGAACTAGTCATAGCAACATATCCTTGCATTGAAGATTAGAACACAACATTGGTTTTGTCTGAGGATTAGCTAGGGGATTTTTAAAAGAATGACAATCTGGTTGTGCTAAATTGTCTCAGAAAACTATTGCATAACCCTCTTCATTTTTGAGCATGGTCCTATTTTGGGTTGGAGTCATATGTTATACCATTTGCACAGACATGTATATATCCTATCCAAAAAAATTGAATTCGTTAATTCATATGTGCCTCTGTGTGTATATATGTATTATATACCTGAGACTGAGAAGCTGGCCAAGTGTTTTTTGTCTCCTGCAAGCTATTACATACTGGAAAGATTTGCTACCCATTTCTGCTCCCATTGTATTCAGTGGTAAAGAATTCCATTAATTTCAAGAGTAGGTGGATTGGGACCATTATCATGACACATGAGGCATTCATAAGTATTATGCAATTTTTCATGTTTGGCTTTGTTCTTTTCTCTTTCCGTTTTAAAACAATTACTTTACACTTCAACACCAGTGAAGGAACTCTGGATGAAACAGTACATTAAATGTACTGGGCCACATCCTGAGCAGGAACAAACACAGTTCCTAGAGTCCTAGAGTTACACCTATTTGCACCCGCGGAACCGCTCATCCAGATTGCATAGTCCCAAGAGGCAAGATATTATGGCTACACGTGCACAAGTTGACTTTGGAGATACTTGAACACAGTTGAATAATACAAATTACAAAATTAAACATTCAATAGTAGGAGATTTACAAAATAGGTATTCAGACGAACAGTGTTGAGAGAAAGATACAAAATGGGTTAGGCAGTATGTGACCAAATTATGTGGAGGTACAGAATGAATAGAGACAAGCAAATTACAATCAATAATTATCCATTAATGCCCTCTGTTCCCCTCAAGTGACTGGGATCTGTGTGGGAAACTCAGTGTAAAATGTTGTTTCTACAACCACTGTATGGTAATCACATTAACAGCACAGTGTGTATACACTGTAATCCCATAAATTTTCAGCATGATTGCTTTTAAGAGATCCTTAATAGATTAAAATTATACATATTAATATGTGTCGATAAGCAGTGTGTTACATTGATACTAATAGAAGCCACGCATCAAAGAGAACATATACCCTAGAGGACTGGAAAGTATTTCTAAGTTTATATATGTATAGTTGTGTATATTTGTTATATTTTTTAAAACAGGAGAAAATGTGTTATTGGAATATTTCTGGAATATATTTGCTTTAGTAATGGTACTAAGAACAGAAATGGTTGTGACAGAAGGGACAAGCTACAGTGATTTATTTTATAATTACTAAAAAATCAACCAGCAAGAGGTTATGATTTTTTTTTCCCAACTGGAGTGCAATCTTGCTACACTGAAATCAATGGGATCAAGATTTCATCCACAGACAACTCTCGATTTTTTTCTGAGATCCTTATGGTAACAGTTGCCTACATAACAGAGACCTTTTTAATCATCCAAAAATGTTTATTTCAGCAAAAAGACACTGTAGCAAGTCAGCAGTTTGCAGCTGAAACTTCATTCAAAACAGTTATACTCTATTGAATGTAAAAATTATAGAATAGGAAGCCAGACTTCTCAAGTAAGATTTTAAATGGTCTCACACCGCAAAATACCAGCTACCCATTAGTGCCTATGGAAAGAGTCCAAAACACCAGCAAGCATGCCAATCAGCCACAAACATCTAGGAATGATATCTCAGAATCAGAGACTTATAAGCTAGGAAGATCCTAGACTTAAAATTGATTCTTTTTATAATGATACAATGCCAGGGTGGGCTATGGAGAGGAGGTAACAAACAGCACAGCACCCTTATCTGACACCCACATTGGACACACCAAAGTTGGAAGAAACTGCATAAGGAACAGTTTGGTATATTTATGCCAAACACATGGGCAGTAGGGCAAAGATTAGAGGAAGAGAATGGAGGAGATTCCTGACAGGTTCTAACAAACTGATTTCCTAGCATACAATTTTTTACAATTTCATAATTGAATAGAGACAAATGAATGCTGACAAATTTTCAAGAAACAATCCTCCACAGTAATTTTTTTAAAATCAGTTCAGTCAATTGAAACATTTTGATGATTTCAAGGGTTCCTATAGTGAAACTGGAACTTTTCCTTTCTAAAAATGTAAATGTTTTGTTGATATATTTCAGAGGGAAATGAGAATTTTTTGAAATAAGAAACTGTTTCATTCCCATGAAAAATTTCAGGTTTGATGAATCAGCATATTTGGAAAAAGGCTACTTCCTCATAGATCTTCCTCAATGTTGGGAAAATCCCTCTGTTCTTTCGATTTTCTTTTGAAAGAATGCGACTGCAGTGTGGATGTAATTGAAGGGTTTTTTTTTTTAAAAAACTGCCATTTTTAAAAAAAAGAAAAAAAAACTCTGTAGTGTAGACATACCTTCAAGGAGGGAAGGTTTTTTTTTGTATAGCTGCACAGGGATATAAATAGGCATGGGTTATCACAAACTGGCCAAAAGTAATCATTATATCTTTCTCCCACACTATTTCCAAGTCAGTTTGTGTACTCTTGCTTTATATGGTTGTGGTCTGTAACTTAAAAAAGAGTTAGAAGACCAAAGTAATGCATAAGAGTAATATTTGGGATCCAATCTGCCGTACTGGTTACACAAGTAGAAAGAAATCCATTGTCATAGAATCAGTGCAGGTATAAAAGAAAAGGAAGTAGTGATCCTGTAGTACTCATGATTCAGAGTACTACAGGATCTCCACTATGTATTTGAGATGCAGTGTCTTTGGGGCAAACTACTGACCTTAGACTAGTAGCTGTACCTTATATAGTTACCTCTTAAGTGGCAGATTCCCATGAAGAAGTAAAAGAGTTTATGCTGCTCCATCTGCACTAGTTCCCCTTCTGTGCCTTCTTCCTTCCCCAGAGGAAGAAGGATAAGGCAGAATTGCAAAAAGAGGAGCCTCTGGCTGCATGGCCCCAGAGCATGAAGGCAAAGGGTGAACGATGACAGGAAGCAATGTGGGAGAAGGATTTTGCTTCTTAGGTGGTTACCACAGGATACAGAACTTTTCTTCAGGGATTTGAAGACTGGAGTTTCCAGACCACACCACCTGTTAAACCTAAAGCCCTACATTTTTGAAAGAAAATGGGAGGAAGTGCCATGAGATCATATTGCATTCAACAGCAACAGGCATCCTCAATTTTAGCAGCTAACTCACAGTGAAAGTACTAATTATCACAGGATGATCCTCAAAATAATTGCCACTGATCTATGGACAAGCCATGAAAGATTAATAATGGACATTTATGAATAGTGGTAATCTGGAAAAATGTGGTAATTAGGAAAAAAACAGATTAGACCTATTTTAGGAAAAAATTGTTGGAATCACATAAAACACTCAAGTATATTGTGCCTATTTTATTATTATATAAACCAGATATTTTGGTGTAATTATATGACAATTT